TTGACCTCTAAGGTTTATTGTAATGAATGTGAAGTGAAATTAAACTCAATGTTTTGATGCAAAGAAAATTTGGTAGTGCAAATTCAAAATGATATCTCGAAAACTGAGGGACTAGTTCGTATATATGTATAAACAGACAGACAGGCGGACAGGCGGATAGACGGGCATGGCTAAATCGACTCAGCTCAACATTTATATATATTATATATACTTAATAGGGTCTCCGACGCTTCCTTCTGTTTGTTACAAACTTCGTGACGAACTTAATATATCCTCTTCAGGTTATAAAAAAAAGACTGTCTAAAAATTGAAGGTAAATCGTTCCAGTAGAACTTGAACAATTGTGGGTATCATTTTAAAAGTATTTTCGAGAAAAATAATTTAGAGTTTCATTTACGGCCGAACCACTGTGGATGCCAGGTCAACATAAGACATGTATCTCCAAAATAATTTGTATTTTGAAAATCCTCTTATAGAACTTTCTTGAATAATTAAACTTTCGAAAACATAAAATAAAAATAAAAACGATTTTTTATGTCTAGACTAAATTAGCTCCTTAAAATTGTTCATTGCATATAAATTGAATTAGACGGTAACTAGCTTGAATGAAGTACTATTTACAGACTTTGGAAATTGAGCAAACATCTGGCCTTACTCCGTCTAAAATACCAGTTGTATGTGTATGGAAATAGTCACTCGGCTTACTACTTGTGTACCCGGTTGTTACTAGTTGGAAAGAACCTTGAAACTATATTTCACAGTAGTTATAATTATATTTTGTATTGCATATATGTATATATATATATAAATATATAATCGTGAGGTACTTGAGAACTTATTAGTTTTATGATACCAAAAGCATTATTAACAAATTGTTAGCTAAACTAAGCAAAACAGGTATCGAACTTAAAAATGTTAGCATATTTGCAGGCGGGGACATTAATAAGTAAAGGCAATGCCCCATATGATTCGAATTAAGTTTTATTTTTTAGTAATTTAATATATGTATATTTTCAATGGCCAAATAATTTACTTTCTAGTGAAGCGAATTGATAGATATAAATACATTCGGTATATTTATAAGCGCTAGGGAAAGATAGGATGCCAATTCTGGTGACGAAATTTTTTTGGGGAAATCTAACAGACTGATATGGTATAAAGTAAATCGGCATAAGGATCAGAAACAATATCTGAAAGTAATGAGAAGGCATGGACTGATTTGTTTTCTTTCTATTTATTATTTGAGTCGACATAATTATTGTATACGCTGACGGCTTCCAGAATTAAGTTATAAAAAAAGTGGTCGTGGTTGTGATACAGAGAGAATACTGTACTCAGAAATTTCTTAAAAGTAATCACATCCTTTGCTTATTTTCGGAATCGAAACAGCTACGAATAATACCGTTAAATGACAGATCGCAACAAAACACCCTTTTCGTTGTAATATTCTCTCATTTTCGGGCCTATATTTAGGCAGCAATAACAATAATAATATGAAGAAATCACTATATCTCATATACTGGCACATAGATAGGGTAACCCAAGTAGAGGTACTTTTTAATAGACTTTTTTTTGCGGATCACGCGACCAGCCATAAAAGCTGTCATGTTATTTTGGTTCAGTATTGTTTGGCATTTCATCATGGCAAGACTTACGAATGAGCAATGTTAACAGATCGTTCAACTTTATTACAAAAGTTCACGTTCTGTAAAGCATGTGTTTCATTCACTTCGCTCAAATTATGGTCAACAATAGTATAAGTACTGAGCATACTATTCACAACACCATCACCCATCTTGAGACCCAGCATTCATTAATGAATAGTATTCAACCGAATAGACAACGTTCAGCACGCAGTGAACAAAATGTACCATCCGTAGCTGAGAGCGTACAGGAAAACCGTGGAGAGTCGATTTGACGCCGTACCCAGCAACTCGCACTGACGTATGGAACGTTTTGACGTACTTTACGTGGAGATCTTCAAATTAATGTGTACAAAACACAGCTTATGAAAGAACTGACACCTCTCGACCTTCCCAAGCGACATCGCTTCACTCTATGAGCTTTCGAACCACATTTTGTTCAACGATGAGACCCATTTATTGTTTCTGTAAACAAGGTAAAATTGCGCATTTAGGACAAAAAACAACCTGAAGAAATATCATAGGATCAGTGGATTTACTGCTATCACATCGTTAGACTTTTTCGTGCAGAGATATATAAAGTCTAAAGTCCATACGCACAATCCCGCTTCGAGTCAGACCTTGGAGCAAAACATCACTCGTGTCATTTGTCAGTTACCAGACGAAATGCTCGAACGAGTCATAGAAAATTGGACTCAAAGAAATAACCATCTAAAAAATAATACCAAAGAATGTTTTTCCGAATGATAATAAACATTTCTCATTAAATTTTAAGTTTTTGTGTTGTTTCTTTAAAAAAAAAGGTAGGGAAACTGGAAAGAAAGCAATTTTTAGCTTGTAAAGAATAAAAGAACTAGGCGTACAAAAATTTGTTTCTGTCAAGAATAACAATATTTTCGAACTGAGTCTTGTTCGACGTCCTTTCTGAGCTTGTGTTCACATCACTTATAATATACTGACTGCAGTTGAGACCATAAGTAAAAGAAAGAAGTTTATATTACATTTGCTCAAAGCCTACAAATATACTAAGTATATAGATGAACATATGTTAACAACCTAAATGGGTTTTTAGCTCACACATACCCAATGCCCATGCTTCATTTTTATAAGCATGTAATCAAAAAGCTTTAAATTGTGATAAGATGGCAAGGTACGTGGGTACTTACCCCGCCTGCTTTCATTCACAAAACATAATCTTGAACTATAAACAAACTGACAGCCTTATTATGCCAATTACATATCGCGCACTAATTCAATAACATCTAATCATAAATTTAATCAAATCAATAAGATCTAAGCAAACTGATAGAGCATACAACTATTGTAAAATGAAGTGATTATCAAGTTCAAACTGTGAAGTGCATCTTGACATTTATGCCCATTATCTAGCCCACTATTCTCTGTAAGACTCATAAATCATACTATCAATTAATAGCTTACATTAATTAACTATGTCTGCATTGCAGTTTCGATTACAAAGGCTTGATGACACTTTTTGTATAAATAGTGCAGTTTCTAAGCATAAAATTCAAACCAAATCAAGCACTCCATCGAAAATGAAGAGCTTCGTCGTATTCGCTCTGGCTATTGCCAGTGTCAGCGCAGCCAATTTGGACGCCATTGCACAGCCTGCCTTCGCATCGGGACGTATCATCAATGGCTACGAGGCTCAGAAGGGTGAGGCTCCATACATCGTCTCACTGAAGTCCGGCTCTCATTTTTGCGCTGGTTCAATCATCGACGAGAACTGGGTACTCACTGCTGCTCACTGCCTCATCTACAACAGTTTTGAGGTGGTCGCCGGTCTACACTCACGCAATGACGAATCCGATGTACAGGTCCGTCAGGTCACCAGCAAGTCGCAATATATCGTACATGAAAGTTATGGCGGTGGTGTCGGTCCCAATGATATTGGTCTCATCCATATTCCCGATGGCTTCGATTTGAACGCGCTCTCACGTGATGGTGTAGCACCTGTCAACAAAGTGTCCTTGCCATCTGGTAAATACGAAAGCACTGGTGACGGCAAACTTTTCGGCTGGGGACGTGATAATTCTGGTTCTTTGCCAAATGTCTTGCAAACATTGGATGCCAACATTATTGGTTATTCGGAATGCAAAGCCGCTCTGCCCTTCTTGGCACCAATTAAGAATGTGAACATTTGCTCTTACACTGCTGGTACCACCGATGGTGCATGCAATGGTGATTCTGGTGGCCCATTGGTACGTTACACTTCCGAAGGTGCTGAGCAGGTCGGTATCGTGTCATGGGGTTACACTCCCTGTGCCACTACCAAATACCCCTCGGTCTACACTAGCGTCAGTGCTTACAAAAAATGGATCAATGAGAAAATCAACGCTTAAGTATTGGTTCTGAACGACACACTTATTTCAATAAAAAAAATGCATCATAATTAAAAAGTAATAACATTGTTGCTTAATTTGATTCATACATTCATATAGACTACACTCCTGTTTGAAAGAGGTGAATATTGTACACTATTAGAAGGCTGAGAACATTTTTTCGAAATTAGAGTTTGGAACAAATATAAGTTTATAACCGAAATATTATTGAATTTTCGAGATCTGACAATTACGAAAGATATGAAGTATGAAGTACGAAGTAAGAAGTACACCAGGCAGACAGTACAATGTAATGTGGAATCTGAAACGTACTCTACTGAGCCCTCCACTGAGTCCATTTTCTCCATAAACGAAACTAACTCGCTAGAAGGTACTGTTGTTAAGTAGAGAGAAAGAGAAGAAAACTAGGGACCACACTGTTGAGATATAAGTGATCTGGTATAGGTCCAACCGTTAACAAATTCAGAGGAATTCACACTTTTAATGGATTATGGTATATATCTGTAACAACGCCAACAGATTAATGAGGTTATGGTTGATTGGTTAAAAAGTTGAAACAATTTCAATATTTGCATCACTATGGAGCACTAGGATGGATCACCATAGCCAATTGCTTTATAAATTAAAGTACGTCACTTAAAATATGAGTATATAAAAAGTGGGCCACAATAAATAACAAAAAAAAAAACAGATTTCTATTGGCAAGAGATAAAAGACGGTAACTCAAATAACTAGTCACATTAATGACCGATATTGAAACCTTATCAAACGCGCTACAAATCCTTGATGATTTACTACTCAAATGAGAATTGTCAGCGATACGATTTGTAATCAGCAACAAAAACCTATCACCGTCGTAAAGGCAGGATGCACATTTTTTTTTTTTTTTTTTTTTTTTTTCAAAAGCTGATAAGTGGTTGGGACGACATTCCATGATTCGACATTCGTATAAATACAACCGCAATTCAAATCGAAATTCAAACTAAAGCAAACATTCAATCCAAAATGAAGATCTTCGTCGTATTCGCTCTGGCTATTGCCAGTGTCAGCGCAGCCAATTTGAACGCCATTGCACAGCCTGCCTTCGCATCGGGACGTATCATCAATGGCTACGAGGCTCAGAAGGGTGAGGCTCCATACATCGTCTCACTGAAGTACGGCTCTCATTTCTGCGCTGGTTCAATCATCGACGAGAACTGGGTACTCACTGCTGCTCACTGCCTCATCTACAACAGTTTTGAGGTGGTCGCCGGTCTACACTCACGCAATGACGAATCCGAAGTACAGGTCCGTCACGTCACCGGCAAGTCGCAGTATATCGTACATGAAGGTTATGGCGGTGGTGTCGGTCCCAACGATATTGGCCTCATCCACATTCCCGATGGCTTCAATTTGAACGCGCTCTCACGTGATGGTGTAGCACCTGTCAACAAAGTGTCCTTGCCATCTGGTAAATATGAAATCACTGGTGATGGCAAACTTTTCGGCTGGGGACGTGATAATTCTGGTTCTTTTCCAAATGTCTTGCAAACATTGGATGTCAACATTATTGGCTACGCCGAATGCAAAGCCGCTCTGCCCTTCTTGGCACCCATTAAGGATGTGAACATTTGCTCATACACTGCTGGCACCAGTGATGGTGCTTGCAGTAGTGATTCTGGTGGCCCATTGGTACGTTACACTTCCGAAGGTGCTGAGCAGGTCGGTATCGTGTCATGGGGTTACACTCCCTGTGCCACTACCCAATACCCCTCGGTCTACACCAGCGTCGGTGCTTACAAGAAATGGATTACGGAAAACACCAGCTCTTAAATTGCGCCCAAATCAATAAATAACGACTATGCATATTAAACGAGATATTTTACATGTAAGAGTCCCAAGCGTATGCAAAAATTTTGGATTGGTACTTGTGTTGGGACATGCGGACCCAGAGCAGAGTTCTTAGGTTTGAATTTCCGCTAATTTTCTCACTGCTGTTTGCGGCTCGACCTTTTTTATTTTTAAGGCTTTTGAGAATGAATGAAGAAGAAGAGTTTTTTTTTTGGTAGACTTTCTCGAGCATTATATCAAAGACTTGTTTTGGTCAAATTTCTTTAACAATACTGCAATTTTTTCGAAGACTGTAATCAATAAGATTTAGTTGGACAATTTTCAGGGTCTTTTTACTGTTAACCACTTTCAACCATTTTAAGTTGTCGTTAAAGGTTTCGCAAGATATCATAAGATGGGATTATTAGATAGAGGAACTTTGAATTATAATTAAATCACGCATTCTTCGTGCAAAATTGCTTAATTTAATTGAATGCTTTGCCATTAAATTATTATATAATAATAATCTGAAATATTTAATAGAAATATTGAAACTCGTTACTTACATCATCCCACTTGACGAACTTCTCGCCGTCTTGCAGCGCTTTCGGCACCTCCACCGGCCCGATGGAAACATATGTCGGCGTGTTCAACATATTGCCAACAACACTCTATATTCACAAATATTCCGTCGCACAAAAATGTTTGCCCCACAAATGCCACCGATGCATTGGTGCAAGCCAAAAACTCATACACACATATTTATAACGGCACTCACGAACATATACGCGACCAATTGCTATACTTGTAGCTTGCTATCATTGCGCCCAACGAGGTAGCGCTTTCGGAAAGCGCAGTGAATGATAGCTATAAAAAAGTGTTATGTCGAAATTTAAAGAAAACTCTTTTTAAATGCGAAGCCAAATAAAATTCTGTTCAAAGCGTCGGCAGAGATAAACAGCACCAATACAATGAAACATCAATTGTTTCGACTTAACGACAGTGCTGGTATGGATGCTTTTGTGGGTGTAACTTTACGTCTGATTTTTCTGTATTTGTTGTTGTTGTAATCGTTTACTGCTTTACGTTGATATATGGTATACTTTGAGTAGTTGCCATATGTTGTTGTACGTCAATAACTGGAAATAAAAAAAAATATTTTTATTAATTTATTGTTAAACTTTTCATTACAAAGCCACTTAAATACTAATTGAAATTCACAAATAATAATAAGAATTATTAAGTAAATTTCTTTAGGATATATTTTCGAACCTTTGACACCTGATGCTTAAGTTTCATCTAAAGCGAATGATTTCATTAAGGGATTACATGGGTTTACGGGTTTCAAAAAACTTAATTTTTGTTTGTCTTTTTATACTCTCGCAACAAAGTTGCTAAAGAGAGTATTATAATTTTGTTCACATAACGGTTGTTTATAAGTCCTAAAACTAAAAGAGTCAGATATTGGGTGATATATACCAAAG